AAGGGTCATCAGGCCGACTTGTTCCTGCTTCAGCTGAACAAAGGAGAGAATTAGGTGACTTAGTATTCTGATTCTCGTTTTAAAATAACCACTCTAAAATCAACATTCAGTGAGTTCTAAACTCCAGAAATTCTGTTTCTTTGTTATGAGGTGGGGCCACAACATTAGTAACAAAGAAACAGAATTTCCGGAGGATGAGGCCCAGAAATCAGGATTTTAAAAAGATTCCCAGGTGATTCTAATGTGCAGTCAAGGTTGAGAACCACTATCCTAGAGGATGGAGAAACTCCAATAATTCATGAATCTAAGCAAATCAAAAACTCGAAAGGAAGGAAAAGTGACCATAGCATCCGTCCCCCGGGCTACACTGGGGTGTGTGCATTTCTCAGCCTGTGACAAGATGTGAAGCCATTCATTTTCAAAGGAAAGGCCACCTGTCTCTTAGCACCTGCTTTCCATTGATTTTTTCCCGCTTCACAGAGTTCATTCTCCTCTGGTAACCCCTCTAGAAGCTTAAAGCTTCCCTTGATTCCCATCACTGCCCAGAAAGCATTTCTCTCCCACACAGTCCTTCTCTTTCTCTAAGCCCCCTTGGCTCACGCCTTCTCCCAGGGCCCTTCCAGCCCATTTCCCATTGTCCCCTCCTTCCAGCCAGCTCCGTGGTCTTAGTTAAAACAAGGGAGGTCTGCCGATACACTCAAACTCTTGCCACATGGCGAGGTTCCAGCTTTACAGATGATGCGATCCCCAAATGTAAACAACATGACCACAAAGTCTTTTCTTTTTAGCTTCTTATCTGGGCTGGTCTGAGCAGTGCAGTCGCTGCTTGGACTAATGGTCTGAGCTTTATTGGCACGTGGTAGAAGATAAAGTATCTTGGCAAGGGCAGCAATACATTTTTCCTCTAAATTTTAAAAGGATGGAGAGGAAGGTTTCCCACTGAGCTCCTCTGACTGCCTCTCATTCTTTTCCTGTATCTTTGAACAAGAAACAAGACCACTTTAGTTTTGATCTGGGAACTATGAGTTTGAGGGTATGGAGGGGCAGTAGTATATGAGCTGGTCTTGGACCCCAGAAGTGGAAGAATTATCTTCCGCCATACCCATAGAACCATACCGATCTTGGCAACCTGACTCATTCTCTGTTGCTGTGCTGATGACATTGACTCTAAAAAATTGGTTCTTTCTAACCTATTGATCCCAATGTGCTTCCTAGATGTTAGACAGAAATGAGAATAGCCTGCTTGAGGAGGGGGCTTTGTCAGCGTTTGTCATACACCAGGGAACAGCTGCAGCTGAGACAGGTGAACCCTGGACTCTGCCAGCGATCAGCATCTGGGTTCTGTATCCAGACCCACAAAAGGCCCCCAGGTCCTGAAACTCTTCCTCCAGTGTAATGGAATTTGGTAGTCTAACTTTATGGGGTTTCACTTTTGTCAGAGAGAAAAGGGGATTTTTGACAGACCACTAGATTTATCCTTAACATCCCCATATGGAGCTTCAGGGCACCTGGTCAGTGTTAAGGAAACCTTTACTTGATATATCTGGGTTGCCTTTAAGTGAAGTCCAGAGCTGTTCGTTACACTATCTCAGATCTTTCCTTCTTGTCTGCGCTGACAAACAGCCAGAGTCAGTCCCCACTGAAATTTGAAAGGCGACTCACAGAATACCCAGTCCCTGATTTGAAAGACCGGTGGCCAAAACCATAAAAGGCTAGAAAGTAGCTAGCACTGTCTAATCATCTGTCAGGGTTGGGGAACTTGTTGCCCAGATGTTCTCCTGTCCCTCAGGCTGACTAGTGAGGAGTATTTCCCTCAGTGAGGTGCTTTGAGAGCTGTGAAGGTCTGGCCAGAGAAACGAGTATAAACTACGTCTCTGAGTGGTTTTCAGAATGGGCCAGATCTCATTCCTTTAGTCCTTTAGTGTCAGGCATGTATGAAATAAGTACTGCACCAGATGACCTCCCGGGACCTGTGATCCCTACTCATCCTTCATTCTCATTCCCTCTCCCCACCTCCCGCCCATTACTGTTTGCATTCATCCCATCCCCACATTAGAGCGTGATAAGCAAGCATGTGCTTATCAGGAGTCCTGGAGGCTGCTGATCTCCCTGTGGCGTTTCTGGCTTCCTGCCACAAAGCAGGATTTAGGCTGATACCCAGTTTGAAGGAGGTGGGCCCTTGGGAGCTGACTTTTCAACATTGTTTAAGGACTGAGGGGTGAGGGTCGGGAGGCGGGGAGGACTGCCAAAGCCAGAGGACAAATCCGTGCCCATGACACCTAGAGCCATGGAGGTTGTGAATGTCTGTGCAATGGCGTCTGGAGCCTCAGCTGTTAATTACTTCTCTCCCATTTCTCTCATCTTGTCCACCTAAGGTGGGTCATTTGTCATACTAGCCTCTCGAGGGTTTATCCCCAAAGCAAGTTCCTGTATTTAGAAGTAAGTTGATAGTTTGCTTGTGAATCCCTCTCAGCAATAACTATCAAAGGTAAATTTGTGATATGTGAGAGACTTGTTTGCTTCTTTCCTGATCTGGAACATTTCTAGGAAAGAGTTCACTTAGCCCTGCCAGCGTGACTCCTTGGTCGAGCGTCAACATATGAACCAGGAGTCATAGTTCGATTCCCAGTCAGGGCATATGCCTGGGTTACAGGCTCAACCCCTAGTCGGGGACGTGCAGGAGGCAGCCAATCAGTGATTCTCATCGATATTTCTATCTCTCTCTCCCTCTCCCTTCCTCTCTGATATCAATAAAAATATATTTAAAAAAGAAAAGAGTACCCTTATATTTTTTATTTGAGACACCCATCAAAAAATGTAGCACAACCTTTAAGCATCTGATTTACTGACCTTATTACCCCCAGTACTTTCTCTGGCCCTTCTGCCCCATTCCCTGCAATTATAAATCATGATTTTAGGAGACTGTTGTAAGGCCCTTGTATACCAAGGCTTCCCTCATCTAATGCACTGAAATTAATGCTCCTTCCTCCTCTACTCTGGGTGTACCCCCACTCACACCATCTGACCTTTGGGAAAAGAAAAAATCAACAGATTGATTTCAGCCACAATTGTCTTATCACAACTGCTTTCCTTTAAGTGTGAATACCAAGTCATATTTAACCTATGACCCCTACAAGGGACTGAAGCCATCGCTTCTCTTCTGGGAATGTGAAAACATCTGTGTGAAAGGATGAAGATACCATGCTCCATCCCCTGATTTG